AAAAATCTATAATTATAATGCAATATGGTACAATACTGACAGATAAAATTTAAGCATTTATCAATGTGTTTATCAATAAGATATTTAAAAAAAAAAGGGCAAAAAACACCAAAAACGGAAAGAACAATTATGGTTGTATAAACTTGCTAATCCGGTCGTCTGGTGTACAACTTCCTGGGCCTTTGCTTTTTTATTGGGCTATTGTTTGAAAGGGCAAAAACCCTCCTTGGGCCTTGGAATTTGAGCTTTGGTCCCTGACTAATATTAGTGCCACGTCGCAAATTAATTTTCTCACTGGAGGTGAGCCCAATCCAAACAATTGAACAAGGAAGCTACCAAACTGCTGCGTGGAAAGTCGCCTCGACATTCAACACACGAAATGGGCACGTGACTGTGATTGTTACTTAAACATATCATAAAGATGGAGATTTAGGGCAGGTTTGGCGTAACTTCTCATGTTTTGATTTTTTAATATTATTTATATTTTATAAATATAAATTTTTTTTAAAAAATTTATATTTTTAAATTTTTTTTAACTTTAAAAACATTTTAAACAATAAAGATCAAAAGTTTCAAATTCAAATTTTTCATAAATTTTAATTTTACTTATTTTTTTAATTTAAAATTAATTTAAATTTTTTTTCAATAAAAATTTAAACTTATGATTAATAAATAATAATAATTTTTTTTAAAACAAATTGTACCAAACATACGCAAAGATTACTTTTACTTTTTTCTTAGTTGTTTAATTAAACTGAGATGTTACATGCATATGACTTTTTGGGCCAATTAACAACATGTGAATTTGAGGTGTATTTGGTTTCGATCCCCCCTTGATAACTCGTTAAAAAAATAAAAAAAAAATGAGACGCTACATGCACAACATTTTATGGGCCATGCAAGGTACACCGAAATATCATAAGAGCTGTTCTCTCACAGCAAGTATTGTCCTTTCGAGCCGCCGTCATGTCACTCAAAGCGGGTTTCTTGTAAGTATTTGTAACAAACTGTAGTCATTCAATGTATGGGTGTTAGAAGTGCTGTTTGCATTGTAACTCTCTTCAATTAATGAAATAGGTGTATTTAATAGTTGCTTGGAGGTTGAGATTTGATTACTAGACTACAAAATGCATTTTGAAGAAAATGGTGCAGATCTGTCAACTCTCCAGCAAACATGTATTAAATGCAATTCTCTGTAGGCATGGAATGCTGTTGTTCATATGTTCTCAAACGAACATTCCTCCTAGAGGATCCAGCCTGTTCTGTGATATTGGCATTCAAGTTCAACCTGCCTCTAGCATTTCCTTGGGCAGCAACACCAAGTTGTTCAAAAAAACCAGCCTGTTGTTCATAGTTCTCAGCTCGTTGAGAGCTTGAACTACCAAGTTCCAACTAAAGACATCGGTCCAAAATCATCTTCAGGTGCTCTCCTCTTCAAGAAAAAACACCTACCATCTGGTGAAGGATTCTGCCAGTTGACATTATCCTCCACTTCATATTGTGTTGTCCTCGAAGTTAGCACAATAGGGTTAGAAGAATTATTGGCATATGCAGTATTCTGGTCAATAGAATCCAATATAGCACCCGAACTATATGTGCTCCCATATCTTGGATCTTCAATATGGACTAATTTCATTTTAAATTTGACTAATTGAGAAGCTAAATAACATTTAATCATTTTATTGAACTTTCTAATGATATCAAGCAAAAATGATACATAAAGGTAAACCATGTCAGATAAATTAACAGACCTTAATGGTTGAAGTTAACTGGAGGATTGATCTGCCACAATCACGAAGATTAGGGGCTTATCTGCTAACCATCCAGTCCCCTTTGTACAGTATTTCCTCTCGGAAGATGAGCATAGATTTCTTTTTTCATTTTTTTCATTTAGTCTATGTAATTCATTACATTTTGCTTCTCTCAGTGAACCTAATTTCTTTGTCTTTTTTGTTTCATCATTGATTTTGTAACAGATTTCAAGAGCTAATTCCTTGCAACACTTGAATGTTGGGGTTAAATTTATCTCAGATGAATCATTACAGGCCATTGCAGATTGCTGTCGACTTCTAAAGGCAAGTTCTCTGTAAATGCACCTCTTTTGCTGAAATGGTGTTCTTTCTCGCCTTTACACCACTTTGATTCTTAAATAAGCCAAAATTTCAACTATTTTCCTTTATATTAAAAGTAAATGCTGCTACTCTCTCACCAGAAGTATTGTCCTTTGGAGCTACTGTCATGTTAATGACAATGGGCTTCTTATTCCTGCGAGTAAATGTCGCAAACTCGAGTCAATAAACCTACGGAGAACAAGATTTCCTCTAAAAGACTTGCATAGTCCTTTATCAAATAGCCAGAGCCCTATGCCTGCACATGGGGCATGAATTCTTCCTCATAAGCCATTGTTTGATACACTCGAAGTGATAGTCATGTCCACAATCCAGCTTCCCCAGAAGATCCCCTTCAGCATACTCATCCTAGGAAGGCAAAACCGGTAAAGAAAATGTAAAGATGAGAAGAGAAGACAGTAGCAAAGAAGGTAAAAAAGATAATAGATCAGAAAAGGATTAAGAAATTAATGTCCACTGTCAACATCTCTATCCACATAGGAATTCAGTGGCGCTTACCAGGCAGATACCGCATGCCCTGTGTTCCTCTGCCTCAGCAGGATGATATGTTTCCCCGTTCAGACGTGCCATGATTGTGTCCTCAGTTAATCCATTTTCAACGACTTGGATTTGCTCTACCTCATTTGCAATGATTTCGAATTGCTCTCCCAGGACAATTAGCTCCTAAACAAAAATATTGTTAATTATGATCAAATCTTACTAAATAAATGACAAACTTATGCTAAGTCATATTTTTCTCTGGCCTACATTTAGAAATTAGTACTCTTCAGGTTCAATAAATCCAAGTAAATGCAAATTAATTGCCATAAAATTTTCTAATATTACCTCATAATTCACATAATTAACATAAGCATATCTTAGGAAACATATAAAGGTATACCAGAAAACGTTGAAGTACTAAAAATATTAACAATGATGAAGTTCTAAAGTTGCCATTGGTTCAGAATAGAAATTAGATTTTTGATACAAACATGTCCTTTTTAAATCAGAGAAATTACTAAACTTTGTTTACAAAAGCATTTATTTATGAGTTATTCAGCAAGAACTCTCGGGATAGTTTGAAGAACAGTTTCAGACAAGAAAACTAGCCGTATATAGTTTGTGTCTGCCTACTGCCATAAACTAGTATAACTTTCATTACTATAAGAGTGAAAACTACAATAACAGGAATAATTTGCGGGTTTTAAGAAAATTAGGAACTAGAGTACAAACACATGGATTAATCCAGCTTAGACCTTACCAGAAAATGTTCGCCACCCACCCTTCTGAAATTGTCCAAGGCTTCACGAACCTATTATGGCAAAAATAGAGAGATTAAAGTCTCTGATTAACGATCGTTTAAGGACTGATAATATCATAAGGTAAAATGGGCACTGGAAAAGTTAATAAAATGTATATTTGTATAGCCAGCTAGGATTCCTCAAAAAATTTCCCAGCTGCAATCAAAAGATACTAAATCTTGCCTTTTCCCTCAATAACTTTGTACTTAAAAGAAGCCACAACAACTTATGCTCAAAGGTCAGAAAATGTCTTTGAGCTCATCTAAGACCACTTAAAAATTAGTTTTAAAGTAGTAGAAGTATATGGAAAACTAATGGCAAGTTAAATAGTCATACCTACGAAACCTAACTGTCCAAAAATACCTATTCATAATCAAGCAGATTATTCCCATTAATTGTCACAAATCAGTGTTCTTGTATCACAAATTTCAGAATTTATACGAAAACATTGTCCAACACAGCCTTTAAGCTTGTTTAAAGAATTACTTTAGATGAAATGCAACTGATCAGATGATATAGTGCAGACAGTACGGTGAAGATACTAACACAAAGCAGGTTAGGGAAAATGTAAATTATTGGACAAAGGCTTCAACTTCTCATAATTGGAAATTATACTAGAAAATATGTAACTATATTCTAAAATTATTTGAATTAGTAGATTCGGTAATGGCACCCACCATGCGAATATTCGAATATACTTAGTATTGTCACCAACTCTATATGCGAATATTCGAATATACTTAGCATATACTCTAGATGTATAAGGTAACTTAGAGAAAGATAAAGTTTCTCTTCTATAAATTACCATATTCTTAAGGTCCTATGTGTGGTTACATATTGGATAATCCACCCATCTTATAAGAATTCTATCCCCTTTGATACTCCTTTCCTTTTCCCGAAGTTCCCAATTAGTCTTCCTCATGCCTTACAATTTCATATGGAACTTTAAAGTGATTTGAAAAAAAGTAAGGTAGGATTCTCTACAGTTTCATTCTTTCCCATTTCTTTATCATCTTCCTTCGTAATGCCTCTTTTGAGTTTTTGATACTACGTTGCATACCCTTTTAATTAATTCACCCATAATTTGTCTTCTTCTTCTTCTTCTTCTTCTTTTTTTTTTTTTTTTTTTTTTTAATTTTGAAAAGCATTTACCCATAATTTTCTATCTTAAAACAAACTACCACCAACAACAAAAGTATATAAAACGTAAGCCTTTTTAATTAATTTGTGGCAAGTGCTCCTATGTTGGTCCTTAGCAGTTTTAGAATTGTTGGCTTTCTTAAAATACATTTTGACAGTAATTTTTTAGAAATGAATTTATCAACAAAATAATGTAATAAGAGCGATCATAGTCTAATGAGCATACCTCATTTATTAATCTTCTTCTCCTTTGAGCAGCAGTTGGAGATCGGATGCGAGGGGATGGTCCTCTAACTCCTCGTCTCGCAACTCTTTGACCTGCCTGAGTGGAGCTGGCATGACCATGATCACCTCCGATGGAAACTTCCATTTGATTCACAGTAGTACGAACACCATGCATTGGGTGGTGGTAATGACCTTGCGACGACTCCAAGCCATTCACGACGAGGTTTTCCATTATGTGTTGGTTGGCCCAATTTGTTTGGGGAAATGTTGAAGTAGAAGGTGCATGAAGATTTGCTGCAATAATTCCTGCACCGTGTGCCAAGCTTCCTGCTTCATGAAAGGCCATGTTCATGTTCCAATGCCTGTTCTCCAAATATCCCCGTTCAAACACCGGAGTTATGAAATCAGAAGGACTAATCATATAGCTTGCTGATCTGTCCATTGAGTTATGCTCTTGATGAAAACCATCAAACATGTTTTCCCCATTCAATTGTGTAGGATGTAAATTTTGTAAAAAGTTATATCCCTGAGTAATTGGTTGGGCACCTGGGGTTGCGTTAAACGGAGCTGCTGATGAGCTAGCATAATTTAGAAAAGGGTCATATGGAAAATGCAGTGTTGGTTGGCTATGCGATTGCACGTTAACACTGTTTGAAGGCCAAGTCGGTATGTATCCCTGGAAGTCAGTTGTCCTTCTATAATGGACATTTCTCTGAGAGCTCTCTGAGAGTCCGGTCAGAGAATTTCGATTGGTATTCAGGTTTAGTGGTTCATATCGGTTTACGCTGCCGCTGGTGTTTCCTCGAGCAACAACACCAAGCTGTTCAAAAATGCCAACCTGCTGTTCATAGTTCTGAGCTTGCTGAGAAGAGCTTGAACTACCACCCACAGACAACTGTCTAGAAGCATCTTCTGGTTCTCTTCTTGCCAACAAAAAATGTCTTCCATCTGCTGAAGGATTCTGCAAGATGGCATTATCATCCACTTCATATCGAGCTGTCCTTGAAGTTAGCACAATAGGGCCAAAAGGACTGTAAATGGATGGAAGATTTAGGTCAATGCCTCCCGGTGGTGCACCAAAATTAGCCACTTGAAAAGTTGACGGGGTGCCATTGGAGAGATGGAGTCCTGAGTCCGAGCTTGAGCCACCCTGGTAAGGGGTAGTGTTTGGCTCAAAATGCCTTCCTTCGAACCTTGAACCAGGTAGCGGAGAAGGTGATCGTTCCCAAGTCAAAAGATCAAAACTGGCGCGATGACCGGGTTCCTGGCTAAAACCAGGTTGACCAAGTGGGTCCTGTTGAGGATTAGGTGCTTCCATCAGTTGAAGCAAGTTCAGTATTCTTGGACCAGATTCGCTGTTGAACAAGTAGTAAATTTCTTGGAAGGGATTGAAACTGTTGCTTTCTCCCTGCATTGTTTCCAAGAAAAATGACCTGAATCAATGAACTGTATTAGTACTAGTAATGACACTTGTCTTTTGGATTGATGAAGATTAATTTATAATAACAAAGATACATACTCCAATTTCATTAATATCTCTTCTTCCCTCTATTTTCAACTTAAAAATATTTTCTATATGCTATCAACCAATTTCTTCTACTTGTAAGATTTAAGCCTATCCAACTTCTATACTAAATTCTTTGCTGCAGCCTAGATTCTCTAATCATTTACCTCTATATTCCTCATGCATATACATTTAGCCTAAATTAAAGCTGTATGTAACCAAATAATTTGTTCATGTACAAAACAATTTAAAATAAGGCAAAGTCAACACATATTTGTTACTAGTATCAAAGGCAAACACAATTTAGGAAAAGTATGACATAAAAGAATGTGAAAAATATGTGATAGGTTTACAAACACAATTGATATCTAGTAGCAAAGATAGGAAGCAAACTAAGGCAATTAATAGTATACAGGCATCTTGATCTCAAAGAATAAACCTCTAAGCTGCCATCATAAGAAATAAGAGTATACACCACCAAACAAAACAATATTTGAAATCAAGCCAATCAAACGATGACGTAAACAAAACAAGTAGCTCTCAACAACCTTGTAATTGGTTATCAAAACCTCTAATGATTTTAAGAGAACAAATACTAGGACAAAGGATAAAAAATGTTAAAGCGAGAAAGAAAGAACATGAGACTAGATCAGAGACTGTCAAGTGGTCCACAAGTGTGTGAAACAACTAGATTGAAGAAAGAAATAAAAAAAAAAAAAATGAACACCTTTGGCCTTTAGTCTACTAAAGTATGCCTTAAAAACTAAAAGGGGTAACTACAGCCAACTAAAATGTTTAAAGCTTTAGGATAGGTGGCAAGGTTCTATTAGTATTCAAGATCCAACCCCAAACACAAATCCATTCAGTGGAAAAAAGTATTGAATGCAAGACTGTTGATTCAAGATCAAAGTGCTTGTGCAGCATATGCAACTCTCTATTTATTTAGTTGAAAGCATTAGTATTTAATAAAACATGTAGTATATAAAGAGATTTGAAAAATGGAAGAAGTAGAATGGAGATGGGAATTTTCTCATTGATGTTAAAGAATGTAGTTTTTCTGATTTTTTTTTTTTAAACATTACATAATAAGTTAGACATAGAAAAAGACACTCTTTTTGAAATAATAAGGAAAAAAAAGTAGAACTCCTCTTGTTGATGTTTTCAAGGTTCCAGTCCAAAATTGCAAAGGAGAAAGCAAAACTTGAAACCCCTCTCCTGTAGTTTTATTAGATCTATCCCTAGATTATAAAAAGGAAAGAAATTTTCTTCTTAAGTTGATTGAATACTTGTAGATTAGGTTGTCAAGGGGACATAACTTAAAGAATAGGTAATATGAAAATGGGAAAAGATCATGTCAAAATTGTTAACAAAGATCTAGCCTTGAGCCACAAATATCAATCTATTTTCAAATAAAATGGTTTATATAGAAATATGACTACTCATATTTTATAAAGATGGGAGGAAAGTGAAGGGAAGCAGTTGAAAAGTGAGTAAAGGATATGCCTCAAACTATAAAAAAAAAAAAGGGGGGGGTAGGATCTTTGTGAAAACATTGATATGGGGCAATCATCAAGATTTTAAAATGAATTAAGACAAATAACAAGAAACAAAAGATCAAAAACCACACCCCTCTCTCACTAGGATTAGTCATGGGGACTTAGCTCTAGTGGTAAGCCATAAATAATTGGGGATTCTTAGCCAAAAGGCTTCACAAAATTAAAAATGATCTTTTGTCACATCAAAGGACTTCATTTGATCAAAATGTAGTATATACTGAGTAAAAATTAACCCAAGGGTAAGTCATAAACAATTAAGGATTCTGATAATAGGCTTCACAAAATTAAAAATGATATATGGTCACATCTAAACACTTCATTTGACTAAGATTTGACTATATACTAAGTAAAATTCACACAAGAAAACTACATGGATCGAGAAATATTGAGCCTTAAACCAAAAATGAAAGATATCAAATTAAAAACAAATTAAAAAAAATAAATCCTAGACAACAAAATCAAGTGATATTGAGCCTTAAACCAAACTAATCCAAGCAACAAAGTCCTAGATGGTGAAATCAAACCCCATCTCAAGGCACAAAACAGCAAATACAACATAATTGAATCACCCCATAAACAAAGAAAGATTAAAACAACCCACTAATCTCCCATAGAAATAGACATAACAATAGTAAAGAAAAGGGTCTAAGGACCATACCACAAAAAAAAAAGACTGAGAAAGGAACTGAATTGAACAAGAAACTAAAGAGGCAATGGCTGGAAAGCAAGGCACTCTTTGAAAATTATCTGGGCTTGTGTGAAAAATGACATTAGAGAGGATGCAATTTATAAGGTAAATGTGTGGGGCAGAGTTAAAGAATCCTTGTGGGTTTCTGAGGGAAGTTTCCATTGATGGAATTGAATTATTATTACATTTTTGTAAGATTAGGCAAGTATGGTGGTATTGTGTCATGGTGAGCTGATGACCAATTGGATGCCCTGCGCTAAAATACCCTCCCTTGACTAAGCCCCATGTCAATCTTCCCCTTTTTCCCTCACCAAAACCTCCTCCTTTTATGGTTTCTCCTCTAAATATCTCAATTTCTATGGAAAGAAACACTACCATCTCTATGAGCGTCCATTTCTTTCTTTGCCTTTTAGTGTTTTTTTCCCTTCTCTGCCATGCTTTTTCCCTCCTAATTCTCTAACTTGTTCTTATCCGGTAGCTTTGAAACTTTAATTAACATAAAACATTTTTTCAATTTTTAAAATTGTATTTTTTATATGATTTTTTGAATTTTATTTTCCTTCTTTATTGATTTTCCCTTACCTTTTTTTATTGATTTCTTTTTGTAAATATCTATACACACATTCTTATCTGTTTTTTCTTAACCAAAAAGAAAACAAAGTTTTTGTCATGTTCTTAATTTTCTTTTCTTTTTTTGGTCAATTTATTGTTTTTTGTTCATTTTAAAAAAAATATACAAATTGGTTGTCTTACTGTTATGCCATTCATGATTAAAACTAGTAAAACTATTTTTTTTCTTATTTTCTTTTTAACTTTTTTAAATAAATAAGTTGAGGCACGATGGTTACATCATTCTTAATTACACTAACTAGCAAGTTTCTATCAATCGTTATAACAGTACTTCTGTAATTGATTTGGTTGTATTTATTTATTATTTTCATATGTTGGTCTCATTAATAGACAACAATTGAAGGTTAATTAATAATTTTCGATTAATAATAATAAACCATGATAATGTTTCTTCATTTAGTAAATCTTTATACTCAAATTCGTTATTTTGGTTAGTCTTAGAATGGTATTTCAATTGATCAACTTATTGTATATAGTTATTAAGCTATGATTGTGTTTGTTACTGCAATTAAATTGTTATAAATTAGTTGTTATAACAGTATTTCAATTCATCAACTTATTGTATATAGTCTTAATAATTGTGCTCATACTTAAATTGTTATAATTTAGTTCGTTATTTCGATTAGTCATTTATAATTGTATTTCAACTGATCATACTAAATGTATTTAGTCATTATTTTAGCCATCCCTACTAGCTTACTGTTTTTCTTAATCAAATTGCATTGATCCTTTTTTTTGTTCCATATTGTGTTGATCTCAATTAAGTGACAAAAGTGTTACTAAGTTTCATTATCAATGATTTAATTCTTCTGTCGTTTCACTTAAATTAAGAAGGAAAAACAGTTCTTTCATTTAGGTGGTAGGACATCAAATATTTCTTAATTAAAAATTAGCAGTTATTCCTTTTTCCCCTTAAATTAGCTTCTAACTATTTATGGGCAATTACACTTTCTTAGATTCTTTTGCTTAGACATGAATGTAAACACTCACAAATATATACATCACCAAATCTCATCCCTACTACCCAAAGAATCCAAACCTTTGAACCTTTCATTAAACATCTATTATTACTAAAGCATTAAGGTGCAAATCTATTTTTTTTCCTTTGAATTAGCCTTGAAAGTATTCAATCCTCTAACAGTAAGCAATGAGAGTCTCTTAAATTCTTTTGTTTACACTCACAATATTCATAATTAATTACCAAATCTTTTACCTACCACTCAAATGAATCTAGACATTTGATGCTTCAACAAAATTGAATGCATTTTTGGTTTCCATCTATATAGTTTCCAAGATTTTCATTTCAATTTGAAATTAGTTTTTATTAATTAGATCTAAAAAAAAAAAATAAAAGAGAAGCACTTTAAAATTATATCATTCTAATAAAACACAACTAAAAAAGACTAAAATAGTTTTATTCTTGTTTTAAAAATACATAAGCTATTTAGTCTTGATGAATTAGTAATAATTATAAATGTGCTCCCATGTCTTGGATTCTCAATATGAATTAATTTCATTTTAAATTTGACTAATTGAGGAGCTAACAAACAATTATTCATTTTATTGAACTTACACATGACATCAAGCAAAAAGGATAAGCAGAGATAACCCAAATTAACAGACCTTAACTGTGAACGTTAACTGGAGGGTTGATCTGCCACAACCACGGAGATAAGGGCTTTTGCTGATTTTCAGTTTAGGGGCTTATCTACGAAAAGAGAAAAGTTAGGGAACTTAAGGAATGATTTTGCCAAACTGAAAAGACTACAATAATTATAAACTTACTAATTGGGTCGTCTTATAAAACTTCTTGGGCCTTTTCTTTTTCTTGGGCCTCTACTTGGAAAGACAAAAACCCTCCTTAGGCCTTGGGCTTTGGGCCCTGGGGCATTACTACCTTGCAGTAAATCAATTCTCAGACGCCGAAGGTGAGCCGAATCCAAACACTGAACAAGGAAGTTACCGAACTGTCACGTGGAAAGCAGCTTCTACGTTGAACACACGAAATGTGCACGTGACTCCATTTCCGACTTAAACATGTCCGAATGCTTGGAATTTATTAGTCACGGATTACTCTTGGAAGCTGTAGTTTATAGACATGTATCCACATAAAAAAATTGGAAGCTGTCGGAAATCACATCACCATGGGCTATACCTGAGTTATCAATTTTGATGCTTTTTTTTCCGTCTTCAATTTTGATACATTGGATTTTCATTTTCTAGATATACTGATTATAGTAATTGTAATTTCAGTTCAAGGAGCCGTTGGGTTTGCCGAGTGTGCAAGCAACTGGACATCAATATCCCTGTGGGGTATGGCAGGGATCACAGACAAAGGTGACAGTTCAATTAGTATGTATTGGCATTGCTGTTTTACTTCAGAACACAGAGTTTGCTTATAGCATATGATGCGTTTGGTGAGTTTGCTAACTATTCAGCCCTCTTTGTTCAGTATTTTGCCTCAGAAGATAAGCATAGATATCTTTTTTCCATATTTTTCATTTAGATCTATGTAATTCATTACATTTTGCTTTCTCAGTGAACCCAATTTCTTTGTCTTTTTTGTTTCATCATTGATTTTATAACAGATTTCAAGAGCTAATTCCTTGCAACACCTGAATGTTGGGGGTACATTTATCACAGATGAATTATTACAGGCCATTGCAGATTGTTGTCCACTTCTAAAGGCAAGTTCTCTGTAAATGCACCTCTTTTGCTAAAATAGTATTCTTTGTCGCCTTTACACTTTGATTCTTAAATAAGCCAAAATTTCAAGTATTTTCCTTTATATTAAAAGTAAATGCCGCTGCTCTCTCACCAGAAGTATTGTCCTTTGGAGCTACCGTCATGTTAATGACAGTGGGCTTCTTATTCCTGTCAGTAAATGTTCCAAACTTGAGTCAATCAAGCTACGGAGAATAAGATTTCCTCTGAAAGACTTGCATATTCCTTTATCAAATAGCCAGAGCTCTGTGCCTGCACATGGGGCATGAGTTCTTCCTCATAAGCCATTGTTTGATACACTCGAAGTGATAGTCATGTCCACAATCCAGTTTCCCAAGAAGATCCCCTTCAGCATACTCATCCTGGGAAGGCAAAAACAGGAAAGAAAATGTAAAGATGAGAAGAGAAGACAATAGCAAAGAAGGTAAAAAGGATAAAAAATCAGAAAAGGATTAAGAAATTAAAGTCCGTATTCAACAGCTCTATCCACGTAGGAATTCAGTGGCCCTTACCTGGCAAATACTGCATGCCCTGTGTTCCTCTGGCCCGGCAGGATGATAGGTTTCCCGACTCAGACGTGCCATAATTGTGTCCTCAGTTAATCCATTTTCAACGACTTGGATTTGCCCTACCTCATTTGCAATGATTTCAAATTGCTCTCCCAGGGCAATTAGTTCCTAAACAAAAATATTAATTGTTAATTATGATCAAATCTTACTAAATAAATGACAAACTTTATGCTAAGTTATATTTTTCTCTAGCCTACATCTAGAAATTAGTACTCTACGCGTTCATAAAATCTAACTAAATGCAAATGAATTGCCATAAATTTTTCTAATTTTACCTCATAAGTCATATAATTAACATTAAGAAGCATATCTTGGTAAACATAACAGGGTATAATAGGAAACATTGATGAAGTACTAAAAAAATATTAACAATGATGAAGTTCTAAAACTGCCATCCGTTCAGAAGAAAAATTAGAGTTTTGATACAGACATGTCCTTTTTAGGCCGGAGAAATTAGTAGCTAAACTTTGCTTACAAAAACATGTGTTTACTAGTTATTCAACAAGAACTTCTGGGATAGTTCGAAGAACAGTTTCAGACAAGGAAACTACCCATCTATAGTTTGTGTCTGCCTAGTGCCATAAATTAGTATAACATTCTTTACTATAAGAACGAAAACTATAATAACAGGAATAATTCACGAGATGTAAGAAAATTAGGAACTTGAGTACAAACACATGAATTAATCCAGCTTAGACCTTACCCGAAAATGTTCGCCACCCACCCTTCTGAAATTGTCCAACGCTTCACGAACCTATTATGGCAAAATAGAGAGATTAAAGTCTATGATTAAAGATTATTCCCATTAATTGCCACAAATCAGTATATGTTGTATCACAAATTTCAGAATTTATACAAAGTCATTGTCCAACACAGCCTTTATTTGTTTTTTAAGGTGCTGCATCACAAGGTCTTTTGAGGAACAAAGCTTGCTTTGAAGAATTACTTTAGATGACAATGCAACTACTCACATGACATAGTGCAGACAGTATAATATTGAAGAAACCAACACAAAGCAGGTTAGAAAATATGAATTATTGGACAAAGGCTTCAACTTCTCATACTTGGAAATTATTCCGGAAAATATGCAATTATAATCCAAAATTATTTGAAATTAGTGTATTTGGTAATGACACCGACCATGCAAATATTTGAATATACTTAATATTGACACCAACTATGCGAATATTCGAATATACTTAGAATATTCTCTAAGCATATAAGGAAGATAACTCAAGAAAAGATAAAGTTTTTATTCTATAAATTGTTGTGTTCTTAAGGTTTTAACACATGTTGTCATTACCCATTGAATAATACACCCACATTATTAGAGTTCTATCCCCTTTGATACTTATTTCCCTTTGCCAGTGAGTCTTCATCGATCATGCCTCTAAGATTTCATATAGAGCTTTAAAGTGATTTGAAGAAGACTAAGGTAAGACTCTATAGTTTCATTCGTTCCTAGTTCTTTATCCATCTCCCTTCATTAGGCCTCTTTTGAGTTTTTGATTCTAAGTTGCGTTCTAAATTTACCCATAATATTCTATCTTAAAACAAACTACCACCAATGAGAAAATTTTCTTTCTTGTGTGATAAGTTAAGTTCACCCAAATCAATTTGTTTTCTTTTTTTTTTTAAAAAAAAAACTGTATATATATAAAGCATAAGGTTCTTTGTGGGAGGTCCTCCTATGTAGCTCTTACTAGTTTTAGAATATATAATTTTATATTCGTTGGCTTTCTGAAAATATATTTTGACAACAATTTCTTAGAAATAAATTTATCAACAATATAATAAAGTTATAGAGATGATAGCCAAATGAGTGTACCTCGTTCATTAATCTTCTTCTTCTTTCAGTAGCAGTTGGAGATCGTATGCGAGGTGAAGGCCCCCTAGCACGTCGTCTCGAACGTCGTCTCGCAACTCTTTGACTTGCCTGAGAAGAGCTGGCATGATCACGTCCAACACTGGAAACTCCCCTTCTTTGATTCACAGCAGCATGAAAACCATGCATAGGGTGGTAATGACCTGACCCCAAGCCATTTACGGTGAGATTTTCCATTCTGTGCGGGTTGGACCAATTTCTCTGGGGATACGCTGAAGAAGAAAGTGCATGAAGACCCGCTGCAATAATTCCTGTAGCGTGTGCCATGCTTCCAACTGTAGGAGAGGCCATGTTCATGTTCCTTAGTATGTTCTCTGAATATCCTGGTTCAAATACTGGACTTATGAAATCAGGGCGATTAATCATGTAACTTGCTCTGTCCATTGAGTTTTGCCCATGATTAAAACCACCAAGCACGTTTGCCCCATTCAATTGCATAGGCCATAAATTTTGCACAAAGTTAAAGCCCTGGGCAATTGGTTGGACTGTTGGTGTTGTGTAAAACGGTACTACAGATATGCTATTGCTTGGAAAGCGATCGAATGGAAAGTAGAGTGTTGTTTGCAGGTTGTTTTGAACATTAATCTCATTCGAGTGCCAGGCTGGTAAGTTTGTGGGCATGGAAAGCTGTTGTACACATGTTCTTGAACGAAAGTTTCTCCTAGAGGATTCGGCCTGTTCTGTGATATTGGCATTCAAGTTCAACCTGCCTCTAGCATTTCCTTGGGCAGAAACACCCAGTTGTTCAAAATAACCAGCCTGTTGTTCATAGTTCTCAGCTCGTTGAGCAGAGCTTGAACTGCCACCTAAAGACATCGGTCCAAAATGATCTTCAGGTGCTCTCCTCTTCAAGAAAACACACCTATCATCTGGTGAAGGATTCTGCCAGTTGACAGTATCCTTCACTTCATATTGTGTTGTCCTTGAAGTTAGCATAATAGGGTTGGAGGAATTGTAGGCATATAGAGCATTCTGGTCAATTGAACCTAGTACAGCACCAGAACTGCTAGTCCCTTGGAAAGTTGATGGGCCACTTGAGAACTGATGGATTCCTGAGCTCATGCTTCCTTCAGACCTTTGATAAATTGAGTCCCAATGAATTGGTGGAGAAAGCGATCGTTCCCGGGTCAATAGATCCACAAAACTGACTGGGCTAGTTTCCTGATTTAAATCAGGTTGAGCGAGTGGGTCTTGTTGAGGATCAGGTGCTTCCATCAACTGAATTAAGTTGAGCCTTTGAGTGCCAGATCCATTGTTGTAGTAGTAATAATTTTCTTGGAATGGATTGGAACCACTTCCTTCCCCCTGCATTTTTTATGAGAAAATGACCTGAAACAATGAATTGTATTAGTACTAGTAATGAAACTTATCTTTTGTATTGATGAAGATTTATAATAACAAAGATGCATTCTCCAATTTCATTAATATCTCTTTTCCCCTCCATTTAAAACTTAGAAGCATTTTCTATATGTTATCTGCCATTTTCTTCTACTTGTAAAATTTTAGCATACCAACTTTAATCTTGAGGGACCACTTTACTTCAGCCAAAGACACTCTTAATCATTTATAACCTCAATATTCCTTATACATATATACATTTAGCCTAAATCTATATGTGAACAAATAATTTCTTCAAGTACAAAAAATTTAAAACACAAGAAGTCACATAGATTTATCACTAATATCAAAGGCAAACACAATTTAGAAAAGTATGATATAAAAGAATGTTAAAAAATGTGTCGTAGGTCTACAAACACAATTGATATCATGTAACAAAGATAGGAAGCAAACTAAGATAACACTGATGGTACACAGGCACCATTATCTCAAAGAATAAACCTCTAAGTTGTCATCATAAGAAAAAAGAGTTTGCATAGCAAAACAAAACAATATTTGAAGTAAAGCCAATCAAACGATGATGTAAACAAAACAAAACAATATTTGAAATCAAGCCAATCAAACAATGATGTAAACAAAACAGGCAGCCCTCGACCCTCAATCTTGCAACTGGTTATCAAAACCTCTAATAATTTTAAGAGAATACTAGGAAAAAGGATAAACACTGTTAAAAGGAAGGAAAAAAAGACCATGAGACTAGATCAAAAACTATGTCAAATGGTTCACAAGTGCGTGAAACAGCTAGAATATTGAAGAAAGAAATGAAATGAAAAGATGAATACCTTTGGCCTTTAATCTAGTAAAATATGCTTTAAAAATGAAAAGGGTAGTACAGCCAACTAAAATGTGTTATAACTTTAGGATAGGTGACAAGGTTCTTGTTAGCATTCAAGATCTACCCCAAGAATGAATCCATTCACTAACATAAGGCATTACAATGCAAGACTACTGATTGATGATCAAAGTGCTTGCGTAGCATCTACAATTCTCAATTCATTTAGTTGAAAGTGTTAACATTTAATAAAACATGTAGTATATAAAGAGATTTGAATTCCTCTTGTTGATGTCTTCAAAATTTCAGTCCTTAATTCCAAAAGACAAAGCAAAACTTAAAACCCCTCTTGTACTTTTATTAGATCTATTCCTAGATTACAAAAAGAAGGATTTTTCTTAAGTTGATTGAAAACTCATAAAATAAGTTATCTAGGGGACAAAACTTACAGAATAGGTTACATATCAAATGGGAATTATATAAAAAGGGGAAAAGATCATCTCAACCACAAATATCAATCTATTTTCAAGTAAAATGATTTATATAGAGATATGACTCATATTTTATAATTACTAGAGGAAAGCGAAGGGAAGGGGTTGAAAAGAGATTAAGGATATACCTCGAACCATTAAAAAAAGGTAGGATCTTTATGAAAATATTGATATGGCACAATCACCAAGATTTTGAAATGAATTAAGACAAATAACATGACACAAAAGATAAAAAAACCTATACCCCTCTCTCAACATGATTAGTCATGGACACTTAGCCCTAGTGGTACGCCATAAATAATTGGGAATTTTTAATAAAAGGCTTCACAAAATTAAAAATGATCTTTTGTCATATCAAAGGACTTCATTTAATTAAAATTCAATGTATATTGAATAAAAATTACCGTTAAGGTAAGTTATAAACAATTAGGAATTCTTAAGAATGTCTTAGTGGCCTAGTGGCCACCATCTTCTGTTAGGGACTTCTCATACAAGTTTGGAGGTGTGGGATTCGAGTTCTACCCCCAATATTTAAAAAAATAAAAAAACAATTAGGGATTCTCAACCAATAGGCTTCACAAAATTAAAACAATCGCTTGTCATATCTAAAGACTTCATTGAACTAAGATTCAATTATATACTGAGTAAAATTCACACAAGAAAACAACACAGATCAATTATGCATGACAATAAAAGTGATCAGATTAAAAACAAATGAGAAAAAAAAAATGCTAGACAACAAAATCAAGTGTTATTGAGCCTTAAGCCAAACCAATCCAAGCAACAAAGTCCTAGATGGTGAAATTAAACCCCATCTCAAGACACACAACAAGACACAACATCTTAGAATCACCCCATAAGCAAACAAAGATCAAAACAACCCCTAATCTCACATAAAAATAGATATAACAATTGTAAAGAAAAGGGTCTAAGGACCATACCAGAAAAAAAAAGGACTGAGAAAGGAATTGAATTGAATAAGAAATTGAAGAGGCAATGGCTAGAAAACAAGACACTCTTTGAAAATTATTTGAGTTTGTGTGGAAAATGACACTAGAGAGGGTGCGATTTATAGGGTAAATGTGTGGGGCAAAGTTAAGGAATCCCTGTGGTTTTATGCAGGAGGTTTCCATTGATGGAATTGAATCATTATTACATTTGTGTAAGAATAGGCAAGTGTAGTATACTGTTTCATGGTGAGCTGCTGACCAATTGGATACCCTACACTATTATTCCCTACACTGACTAAGCCCCATGTCAATCTTCTCCTTTTTCCCTCACCAAAACCTCCTCCTTTTATGGTTTCTCCTCTAAATATCTCAATTTCTATGGAAAGAAACACTACCATCTCTATGAGCGTCCATTTCTTTCTTTGCCTTTTAGTG